AACAAAACTAGGAGTTTATTCTTTGAAAATGTCAGTAAAATCAACTAACCCCTAGCAAAACTAAAAAACGGAAAGAAGTAAAAGACACAGATAATCCAACTAAAAGATGACATGGCCAATGTCACAACAGAATCAATTAAAATAAAAAGACTAACATTGGAAGATTAGAAAAATCTATACTCAAACAAATATGAAAACCTAGAGGATATGGAAAAATACTTAGAAATTCACAACCTTCCTAAACTGACCCAAACCAAACTTGAACACCTGAACAGACTCATTACAAAAGAAGAAATTGGAAAAAGTAATAAAACAACTTCTAGCCAAAAAAAGCCCTGGACCAGATGCTTTTACAAGTGAATTCTATCCAACATTCAGAAAAGAACGGTTACCAATTCTATGTAATCTATTTCAAAACACAGAAAAAGACGGAATTCTCCCAGGCTCCTTCTATGAAGTAAGCATATCCTTTATACAAAAGCCAGGTAAAGACACCACCAAAATAGAAAACTATAAGCCAAAATTTTTCATGACCATAGATTCAAAAATCCTGAATAAAATCTCGGCCAATAGACTCCAATGATACATTAAAAAATAATTCACCATGCCCAAATGAGATTCATAACAGGAATACAAGCATGGCTCAACATAAGTAAGAGAATCAGTGCAATTCATCACATTAACAAATCAAAGAACAAGAACCACAAGGTCTTATCAATTGATGTAGATAAGGCCTTTGATATAATCCAACATTCTTTCATGATTAAAACATTTAAGAAAATCGGAATAGAGGATAATTTCTTCAACATTGTAGAAAGTATATATGCAAATCAAGAGACTACATTGTTCTCAATGAAGAGAGAGTAAAGGCATTCCCTTTGAGAATAGAAATGAGGCAAGAATGTTCACTGTCACCTCTCCTATTCAATATTGTATTTACGTTTTGGTGATAGCAATAAGACAAGAGAAGAAAATAAGAGGTATCCAAATTGGCAAAGAAGAGGTAAAATTATCTCTATATACAGATGATATTATAGTATACTTAGAAAACCCTCAAGACTCAGCAAGAAAACTACTGGATATAGTTGACTAATTCAGCAAAGTGGCAAGATAAAAGCTCAACATACAAAAATCAATTGGATTTCTCTACAGTGACAAAGAGAATACAGAACTGGAGCTAAGAAAAAACAATACCAATCACAGTAGCTAGTCACAAGATTAAATACTTGGGAATAAATAAATCTAACCAGAAGAACAAAGGATCTATTAAAAGAAAATTACAAAACATTACCACAAGAAACAAAAAGAAACCTGGAGAAATGAAAGGATATACCTTGTTATTGGATAGGAAGACTCAATATTGTAAAAAGGACAATACTACAAAAGGCGATCTACTTTTTGAACGGAATCCCAATAAAATACCAATTCGACAGACTCTGATGGCGCCGGAGGCTCGGGAGGACCCGGCCCAGGGTCCCGGGGCTGGACCAGGGCTGATGGACGCTGCCCAGGTGATCCTGAGGACGCTGGTGCACGCAGGGCCACGCAGGCTGACGGCCCCGGGGGCTGGTAGCTGTCCGGCATGTAGGCTGAGGCATGAGGCACGCAGGATGCAGCGCCAGGGTGCTGTGACCTTTGAACACCTGGCTGTGAACTTCTCCCAGGAGGAGTGGGGGCTGCTTGATGAGGCCCAGCGGCTCCTGTTCTGCGATGTGATGCTGGAGAACTTTGCGAACCTAACCTCCCTGGGTTCTTGGCATGGAGCTGAGGATAAAGAGGACTCTTCAAAGCAAAATATTTCCATAGAAACATAGGTCAGGACTGCACCAGCTGGTTCATCTGTGCAGAACACTCACCCGTGGAAGGTGGGTGCCCCAGTCTTGACAGATATATTGAACCTGGCTGAGCAAGTTCCATGTCCCTGGCAGAATCCGTGCTTGGGGGGTGCGTGCGTGAGATGCTTCTGGATGAGAGCAAGCCTTCCCCAGCACCTCAAGTGTCACAGTAGAGAGAAACCCTTCAGAGAAGACAAGGATGGCACCTCCCTTCCGAGCCGCTGCACATCCCACAGGTCAGGCATGCCTTCCACCTGCAGAGAGCTTGGGGAGGACTTCCCAGCAGCCTTGCGCCATCTCCAGCACCAAGCCGCTCCTGAGAGTGAACCGCCCCCCACAGAGCTCAGGTGTGGCGTGGCGTGGCCTTTCAGGCTGGAGAAGGACTCCGCAGAGGGAACAAACGTGGGGAGTCTTCCAGCCACACGCACACAATCTTCCACCAGAGCGTCCGCACCGGAGAGGGACTTGAGGACCGTGGGAAACGTGGTAAAGACTTGAGCTGCATGTACAGACTCGTGCAACCCCAGGAGGTGCGCGGTGGGGAGAGACCATAGGAGTGTGCAGAGTGCAGCAAGTCCTTCCGGTACAAGCGTCTGCTCATCTATCACGAGAGAGTTCACACTGGAGAAAGGCCTTACAAGTGTGAGGAGTGCAGGAAGGCTTTTAGAGATTCAGCATCAGAAAATTCACACTGGAGAGAGGCCTTACGAGTGCAGCGAGTGTGGGAAGTGCTTTAATCTTAGGTCTGACCTTAACAAGCACCAGAGAAGTCATACTGGAGAAAGGCCTTTTGAATGTAGTGAATGTGGAAAATTCTTTGACCGCCAGTCTCTCCTCCATAAGCATAGGAAAATCCACTCCACTGCTACCCCATACGAGTGCAGCAAATGTGGAAAATTCTTCAGTTACTGCTCCTACCTGAACAATCACAGGAGGATGAACGCAGGAACGGAGCTATATGAATGCTGTGCGTGTGAAAAATCCTTCCACCAGGGCTCCAGTCTCGTACAGCATCAGAGAATTCACATTAGGTCCAAGGCCTACGAGTGTGGTGAGTGTGGGAAGTCGTTCAGTCGCAAATCGCTGCTCATTTACCCACCAGAGGATTCACACCGGGGAGAGACCGTACCAGTGTGTGGAATGTGAAAAGGCATTTCGCCACCGCTCAGCTTTTATCCGACATTGGAAAATCCACACTGGTGAAAAGCCTTATGAATGCATCAAGTGTGGGAAGTTGTTTAGCCGTAGCTCCCACATCAATAAACACAAGAGGATTCATGTTGGAGAGAGGGCTTTGAGTGCGGCCAGTGTCTGAAGTCCTTTCCCCAAGAGTATGGCCTCCTTCGACACGGGCATTCACGTAGGAGCAAAGCCTTACGAGTGTGGACAGTGGGGAATTCTCTAGGCAGATGGGCAGCCTCATTCACCACACAGCGGCCAGGCCTGTCTGATGGTGAAGCCTGTTAAAAGGGCTGTGACTTTAGTGGCGGTGTCCAGTGATGATAGTCGGGCCCTGCCTGTTCTAGTCCTAGAAGGCGGCTGCAGGAGGTAATTAGCCATACATTCCCTCCTCTTGTCTTTCCTCACTCCTCTTCCCTTTTGCTCCAGGCAGATGGAACTCATCTGTGCCCTAGATGGCCGCTCACCAGCTTCACGGCACTGTGACAAAATGGGAGGTAGGAGACAAGAAACAAATGCATTTTTAGGTCAATTAGCAGAATTGTCTTAGGAAATCAGGACCCTGAACTTAGAAACCGAGGAGCCAGAAGCCATGCTACTGGATTGTGCATGGGAGCCTCACCAGCAACTCGTGCAATCTTCCCTTTTTGACGTGTAAGACATACAGCGTGTACAGCAGTTGGTGATGCAGCCCTATTGATTTGAGTTTCCCATCACTGTAATTGGAAGTTCAGCCCTCCAGCAGCAATACTTTTCCCTTTCTCGGTGCTAAACACTGATGAGGATTTGCCTCTCTAAACATTCGACGTCTCTGTTCATGAGGGCATACGCTGTCTTTTTGTGACCAACTTATTTCACTCGGCATAATGTCTTCAAGCTCCATGTGACCTCTAAAGGGTTAAAACGAAACAATAAATAAAAATTACGTGCCTTGAGCATGGACCAAATTGACTACAGCAACTCAAAATATTAATTAGACCTGTAAGGATCAGGGAGTTTATGTCCCATGAAGACAGAGCAGCTTGGAAAAGGGGTGAGAATGGCTGCAGAACTTGAGAAAGTAATCCTATCTCGTCACTGTACCCGTAGAAACCATATTTTGCTATGTGTATTCTCAGCAACAAAAAAGAATAACATTTAAATCTCTAAAAAAAAAAAAAACAAAAACAAAAACAATTCAATTCTTAACGAGATGGAAAAGGTAATATCCCATTTCATTTGGAAAGGAAAGAAACTCCGAATAAGCAAAGCACTCCTTAAAAAGAGGCATCTCACTCCCTGATTTCAAATCATACTTCACTGCTGTGATGGTCAAGACAGTGTGGTACTATAAAATGACAGACAGAAAAAATCAATGTGATAGAATTGAGAACCCAGAAATCAGCCCATGTACCTATGGTCAACTGATTTTTGAAAAGGAGATGATATAGTTAAGTGGGGAAATGACAGCCTTTTTAACAAATACTGTTGGCAAAATTGGAAAACTGTCTACAGAAAACTCAAACAAGACCCACACCTCACTCCATACACAAAAACCAACTCAAAGTGGATCAAGAACCTAAGAGTAAAACCAAGGATTATAACTCATTAAAGGAAAGCTTGGAAGAACTTTAAAAGCCCTAATCCACAACATGAATGTTCTTCCATGCATCTTGAAAAATCTACAACCATGAGAGGATAAAATAGATCAATGGGATCTTCTAAGAATCAAATCTCTATGCACATCCAAAAACTTCTGCACCACGGTAAAAAGGAAAAACCACAGACTGGGAAAAAATATTTGGTAATGATATGTCTGATAAGGGACTTATATCTAAAATTTATAAAATACTTGAGCACCACAACAAGATAAAGGTAAACAATCCAACTGAAAAATGAGTATGAGTTATGAACATTTTACTAAAGAAAACATTCAGATGGCAAGCAAACATATGAAGAAATGTTCAAAATCCCTCGCTCTAAGAAAGATGCAAATCAAAACTATGAGATATCATCTCACCCCAGTAAGAATAGCAAAATTTAACAGAGCAGCAAACAACAAATGCTGGTGAGGTTGTGGAGAAACTGAAACTTTTATTCCTTTTTGATGGAAGTATAAAATGGTGCAACCACTCTGGAAGGCAATATGATGCCTTCTTTAAAAGTTGGAAATAGAAATACCAGTTGACCCAGCAATTCCATTACTGGGAATGTACCCTAAAGAAAACAGAACTGCCACCCAAGCAGGTACATGCACACCTACGATTATTGCTGCTAATTTAAAAAAAAAAAAAAAGACGAAACGAGCTTACATCTCATGACTGAGAAAAAAACGAGTGCATTAGCCTGCTCTGCATTTTGCTTAAACTTTTCCTGAATCTCAACTTAAGTGGTAGCCTGCTGATCCAGATTCCGAGTTGTATACTTCCCTAATAAACCTGTATGGTCTATGAGTTCTGTGTGACAATTGCAAAGAATTTTGGAACCCAGCAGAGAAGCAGTGAATGCCGTGTGTGGGTTACACTGCAATAGAAATTGGTGAAAATGTTGGAGAAGGCAGAAATACCTGACCTCCACCTCCTAGGAGTCAGTTTCACTCCATATCCCTCCGTATTGTTTCTTATAAAGCAGATGACTTTGCAATCAAGTCAACTAAAATTTCTATTAAAAATAAAAGTCTATCAGTTAACAGCATCTAGAGAGCAAAACAGAACGTGACGCCTTCTATTGTGAACTGATTCGTGGATGATCCTCCAGCGAATTTTCAGAGGGAGGAGATTGCCCATCTTTTTTCTGTGGAGCAAATGGAGGATTTGAAAACCTGCCTTTGGGTAGGCCATGCAGGTTACCCACTAGATCAGGGAATTTATGTCATTTGCCAATGATTTGATAATTATATTCAAGTTGGTAAGATTTTTTTTTGTACTAACAATTTAAACACACTCTCAGAATTTATTTTATAACTATCTTAACAAAGTATGTAATAACATAATTCAGCTAAATTGTTTTCTGTGTAGTTATAGATTCTTAATGGATTCTAAATGATAACTATAAACTTTAAGTAGTTTAAAAAATCAGAAAGCCATAGCAGGCGGAAGCCATGGCCATGGGCTCACCAAGGGCTACAAAGTCACCAAGAATGTGAACAAGCCGAGGCACAGTCTTCACTGTGGGTGCCTCAGTAAGCATACCAAGTTCGTGCAGGACATGATCCAGGAGGTGTGTGGCTTTGCATCCCACAAGCCTCTTGTTCTGGAGTTGCTAAAGGTCTTCACGGACAAGAGGGCACTCAAGTTCATCAAGAAAAGGGTGAGGACACACATCCGTACCAAGAGGAAGCAAGAACTCAGCAACGTCCTGGCCAACATGAGGAAGGCAGCTGCCAAGGACTGAGTGTGGTCCGCTGTCCCCCAAAGCCCTCACCCATCTGACATAATAAAGTGTAATAAGAAAAAAAAAAACCCAAACCAATCCTCGCTCTACATATTTGCAATAATCTTGCAAACAGCAAGTAAAATACAATAAAATATACAGTTGTTCAAGACAAGAAAAAAAAAAGAGGAAAGGTTATGGGAATTCAGCCCTTTTGATTTTCTTCCTCTGGCTCTTTTCACATTTCGTTATAATACTTTGATTTTTGTCTTCCTGAGTTGCCCTTGAAATCTTCTATTTAGTTCCTTAACTTCCTGATTTCTTCTCTTTGCTTTCTCAGCATTCTGGAACAATATTCAGAGTTTCTACTGACATCCATCTTGGTCTTTTCTTCCTCCTCTGTCTTTGCAATGACCATTTGCATTCCTTGGGAAAGATAGTCTTGATAGTCTCTGATCTTTGTGCATTAAGGTTGAAGGTCTCAAATGTGTTCCTGGGATGAATGGTAAATTCAGGGGTGATATGCTCAAGGACAAATTTTGGTTCTTGAAGATTTAATTTTCTTTAGCTTTAGTTTGAACTTTCATATGAGTAGTTGAGGATCTGTTCCACAATCAGAGCCTGGTCTAATTTTCACAGCTGATGTTGAGTTGTCTAGTGATTCTTTCCACAAATATAATCTATCTAATTCCTGTTCATACCATCAGGTGAATTTCATGTGTTTTATGTTTCTTATGAAAGGTATTTGCAATTAATAAATCATTAATTGTACAAAATGCTATCATTCTATCTCTAGCCTTATTTCTATCACCAAGTCCATGTTTTCCAAATGCTACTACTTTTTCCCTGTTACATTTCACATACTTTGGGAATATGACCAGGAGGGAACAGTCCTAGTCCATGTTTTCCAAATGCTACTACTTTTTCCCTGTTACATTTCACATACTTTGGGAATATGACCAGGAGGGAACAGTCCTTAGAGAAGGTTATCATACTTGGAAGGGTAGAGGGTCAGCCTGGAAGAGGAAGATCCCAGATGAGATAGACTGGCACAGTAATTAGGGGAGGTGTGTCAGAGACAGTGAGACGGGCTCAGGATAGGGCAGGGTTCAGACCTATTGCATATAGGGTCACTATGATTTGCAGATGACTCAGTAGCATATTAACAACAATAACAGATGGCTGGAGGTAAGTTGACCAGAACCCAAGCAAAGGAGGGGAAGTTGGTCCATGCTGTGAGCTAGGGTTGATTGATGTACCCTGATAGCTTAGTGTTGACTGGACTTTGCTTATGAGTGCAGATGCTCAAAGTTGCCAAGTTAAACAGAGACTTCCTCAGCAAAGAGGATATTTTTGTTCTCTCAGAGTACTGGTTTGATAGGAATAGCAAACCAGAAATTGGATATCTGAAACAGGAATATTAAGGTAATAGGCATGAATTAGGTGGCTTGCACACTTTTACAAAATTAATTATTAATAAGATTATTTTGAGAAGGAAATACTCTCACAATATACATGAATGAAATGTAAATGAAAGATTGTATAAAATACAAAGTACATGCATGGAACATATGTACATGTATGATAAAAATATTGTTTTAAAGTGCTGGGATCTG